GAGCGCAGGGAGGGGCAGAGGGACAAGACACACTATGTGGAACACAACAGCACACGCCAGATAGGTGTCAAAGGCAGCGACGAATCGTGCAAAAAGTAAGACAAACGCAGGAATGTAACTATGTTACAGTTAGCTTGGGTAATTATCACATGCTACCTAAATATGAATAGGCGCTGATGTACAGACTCCACCGACGCGGTGGTGCCCCCTGCGCCCCATTATCGTCCCACCTTCTCCTGTATGAGGCAGGTGAGCCGGACGGTGGGTGGTGACAGCGCCGGCTCCTGGCCGTCGGCCCCGGCCGCCGGCTCGCCCTGCTGCTGCCCCGCCGCCGCCGCCGCCGCCGCCGCCGCCGGCTGCTGGGGCCGCGGACGGAGCGGGATCAGCCGACTGATGAGGTTGCGCCGCCACTGCTGCTGCTTGCGGCGGCGGACCGCCTCGATGAGCCGGCGCGCCGCCGGCCGGCCCAGGCCCGTCTTCTCCAGGTCCTCGGGCCGCACATAGTCAAAGTGGGAGAGCCGGGTGACCTGGGATGGACACAGAAGCTGTCAGCACCGGCCGGGGCACACAGTTTAGGCTTGTGACATACCCCAATGACCACAATTCAAAATGACGAAACACTGCAAAATAATGAACAGATCCAACCAGGAAAAAGCACATAATGCTGACTATTGACAACCAAACTCGAACTCCTGCAGTAGCATAATATGTTTAAGATCATGTGCATCAAACCCAGAAATGTGAGGGCATATATGGGCAAATTAAGATATTATCAGTATTTGTAAAATATACCTAATTGATATTTTCACCAACTGACACAAAGTACACATTCCAATCAGTTTAAATTCACACCATCATTCAGAGCAATGAAACTTGCCTGTAGCTCATCTCTGATTCTTGTATAGAACCTTTCAAGTTGAACTTCTTTTAGAACTTCATACAGCCACTGAGCCTCAGCTTCTTCTGATTCAGCCATTTCATGAGGTATTCTTGGCCACCTTTTGTCTAACTAAGCAGCATCTGCTGAATAAGAAAAAGTCAGTCAAGCCAGATATGCGCATACAGCAAAAATACTAACTGTTTTATCAGCAATCTTTGACTTAAAGATAAGGTCTAATCTACAATTGTGGCACTGTTGATATAAATATGAAACAACAGAAATTGTTGGTTGTAAGTTAGGGTAGGTTGCAGGTTTGTAGGTTTTAGGTTGTATGAGTAGGTTGTAGGTTGTTAGGTTGTAGGTTTGTAGGTTTGTAGGTTTGTAGATTGGTAGGTAAGGTCAAGGTTAGGTCAGACTTGACTATGTTTTTTCCTATTATTTGTGAGACATGTATCATTTTTGGATTCAGGATGTGAAATAATGTAACATTGTGAGAAAATTATCCTTGAAGTTTTCTTAGGACTGTACCTTGACATTTACCAGCACACCTGTCCGGTGTCCTTCTCAGCTGCCTTTGAGTCCCTCTGGGCATGTCAGAGTCGTGATTGCCATGTCAACTGAACTGAATTTTAACACTTTTTTGCATAAACCGGCATCAGACCTTATGCCAGATTTGCTCATTGAAAAATTGCTGACTAGGTACCACACTTGCAATTCAAGTGATGCACAACTTGAAAAACCATGCACAGAGAATTGAATGATGATAAGAAAACATCAAAACGTCACATCAAAAAGGGCCTTACTAGCAACTGGATAACATCAGCTGGCTTGCCAGCTGGCAACCTACGATAGCTATGCTGTTCATTGCTATAAACATGATAGTAGATGTCACATCAAAAAGGGCCTTACTAGCAACTGGATAACATCAGCTGGCTTGCCAGCTGGCAACCTACGATAGCTATGCTGTTCATTGCTATAAACATGATAGTAGATGGACATGAACACATTAACGGTAAAATGGGACTGATAGAAAAGTAATAGATAGATATTTAGTATTAGTAGTATATTTAGTACACCTTTTTGCATTAGCTTTTGACCATTGGACAAAACATTTGTACACATTCGCCATATAGGTGGCGCTACAAATGGGAGGTTGATCACAAAGAATCACCATTGAGCAAAACTATTCGGCGGTCCTCCTCTACAACTCGGCGTTGAGCGAATGGTTCAACATTGTGAAAAACAAATCGTCAATGGTCGAAAATATTCGTCACATGCCAAGCTAGCTCACTAAATGCCAAAGTCTGGCGAAGTGTCAAACTGTTTTGCACATCACTCATTTCAGTGTTCAATCTGTTTTGCTGAGTGGCTAAAATAAGACACACAATGCCGGAATAGTTGTGCTCAATGTCGATTGTCGAAATGGCTCCCCAAACAGTTATGGCGAATAGTTGAATTCAAATGCAAAAAGGTGTATTATTAGTATTTATCTATTGTATTTAGATATTCTAGCATTGATGTATAACAAATTAACAATTAACAGGCTCTGCTAGCGCAACCATACGGCGCCAGCTGGCAAATAATCCAGTTAATAGTACGGAAAAAAAGGAAAACTTCGGCTGGCCAGTCCATGTCCATTGTCCAGTGGCCGATAGCATCTTTCACGCGATTAACGTTTACGCATGGCCAGGGAACTTTGGTCACAGGTCAGCTTTACAAGAACAGACACAGTTTGCATTTTTCTTACGGTAAAACTGTCCTTAGGTCAAATAGTACAGAAAATTGACTACCTGAAATCGAAAACCACACATCCCTTCAATGCGCTCCCAAGTCCAATTGCAATCAAGGCCCTATATACCAATGATTGCAATGCAAGTTTCCTGATTGCAATGCAAGATCTTCAAGTCAGTCAAGCTAGAGGAACGAGATTCAGAGTGTAGTGTTCAGCGACCAAAAACACATTTGTCAGCGAATCAAATTACCATGGTAACTTGAGGCCGCAGAGAAAACTTTTAGCTTAGAAAAGCTTAGCTTAATGCTAAATATCTTGCGTAATACCACAGATAACAGTAGTACTACTGTTATCTGTGGTAATACATATAGGTCATGAATTTGGGTATATGTCAAGTTTAGGTCCTAACTACAATTGTGACGCTGTTGATACGAATATGTAACAGCAAAAATTTGGCTCTCTCTATCGTCTGGACGTTTTGAAAGATGCTCTCCAGAGATGGCGCTAGTAAGTTTGGCTGCCATGACGTCATGCTTAAAAGTGATGGGTTTTGTGAGAGCAAATGAAATAATAGTTTAAAATTTGGTACCTTTGCTTAATTCAGAAAAAGCAATATACAATTATTCAAAAAACGTGTTCCTCATTCATCGTTCATTGTTTTAAGAGGAATATAGACAGTTTTAATATTTTTTCTTGACCTCAATTCGCACACGCACTAAATTAAAAGCTGGAGTTTTGTGCGTTCGTAAATTGTGATTTAAGAAAATAATTTGACAATAATCTTTTACACTTTTGCTTTACAATCATTTTTCAATGCACATAAATGCATGAATGATTCGAGAATAGGCATATCTTTGAAGTATTATGATTTTCCACAAGCAACTTTTTCCAGAAACTTGAACTACTCACAGCTGACGAACGCATCCAATAATCTGGATGTCTTAGGATGAGTTCGTCTTTTTTTCCAAGGAAATACGATACAGTTTTAGCTACTTTACCTATTTATTAGGGTACTTTTGCCAATGAATTATCAAATCAATGACAACAATTAATCTCATTATCAACCATACTCGGAAGAATTTTCTTCGTATAAGCGCGAACACATCCGCGCTTTCATGAAAAGTAACGCCTGTAGATGTCAGGACTGCTGCTTTATGTTTCGCAAGGTGGCGCAGCGCGCAGGGCAGCGAGGCTGAGGTCTCCAGACTCTCCACCACGATTTAGCTTGGAAATGGCATGGGGAAGGTCTCATCCCAAAAAACGGACGCCCTTTTACACAGCTGCATAACAAGAATGAATTATTGGCATAGCTGACCATACGTCCCCTCCCCCTTGCCGCCCCAGCTCAGAATATCGCCTATTTTCCTTAGTGGCAGTTATATTCTGACTAATTTCTCACTCTTCCCAGTAAACATTAACATGCATGATGCAGATGTCCACTGCGTAAGTCGTGTGCTTGCGTAAGTGTGCCAACTAGTGCTGCCTACAGTGCCTATAGTGCCTACTGCTTCCACCATCGTCGTTATAATTGGTGGTTCTCAGGTCAAAAGCTACACAGTGGTCTCAGAGAACAAGCGTTTCAACAAATTCACGATTCAAACCGTTGCATTCTACTTATATTCCGGTCAGTTCTGCTACTAAACGATTGCGGCAACAAAAAACTATTTAGGTTATGTATTAGCGAACCACCACACAAAATTCGCCCAATCAATGGTCAGTTATTACTGCTGGGCTGAACCGTCATACGCTATATAGCCTATTGCAGTCAATATTTTTAAAACGATACCGACTGACGAAACACAACATATTCGCAGATTCGCACATACGTTGGCACCCAGGTGGCCTGTCAGCAGCCGCACAAATTGAGATGGTACACCGTAAAGCATGCCTTTTCACACAGGCACAAGCACAGGGACACAAAATTCTCAAAATCCAAACTTATTCCGATACTGGTCAAATACTAATAGGCATAAAGTTTTGAGGTTTTCTCATGTTCATTCTTCTTTCAACACACGCGGCAGACTGCAGCAGAGCATCTCACAGAGCTGCGCTGGATGCAATCATGAGCTGGGACACGGTTTGTGACCGATGACCGATCGGGGGTGCCAGCCTCCTCCCGGCACGCGATGCACTGGCCGCCGCACAGTCGATGTCGGGGCACCGCCGGCATTCGCCGACAGGGTTCCATCCGATTCGGTGTATTGGTGGCAGCCCGAACAGTGACCCACGCGAAGCTGGTGGACGTCGATGGCCGATGAGCGATGCCCTTCCGCGACCGGCGGTGGCAGTCGGTCCCACATCAAGAACAGATACCAGTCATGCGGTAGGTCGGCGACGGCGCGGTCGCGAGCCGATCTGATGGTTGTTGTTGTTGTTGGTCCCTCCGTCTCACAGCTGAGACGTAGCCGTCAGGCTCTGTAGGGACCTGTGGGCGGCCCCCAGGGCCGCCACGATGGCGCCGCTCCGCACCTCTTCCAGGTCGGGGTTGATGGATCCCAGCAGTCGGTGTCGGGTGGCCATCAGGGCCGGGCAGCGCAGGAGGACATGCTGGGGGTGTCCGCCTCCTCCCGGCAGACGGGGCAGAGCGCAGCCCTGCAGTGTTGATCGTCACACTGCTCGCACCCCGCCAGCCGGGAGGGCGCCAGCCCGACTCTGTGGCGCCACTGCGTAGAGCTGGTCCAGTGGCCGGCGCGGAGCTGGTGTACGTCCACCGCCGCCGACCGGTCTCCGCCGGCCACGGCCGGCGGGAGGCGGTCCCCGGTTCGTCGGCGGAACCAGCCGGCCGGCCAGGCTCGGATGGTCCGGGCCCTCGCCACTCTGGCGGCGGCCCGGTGGGCCGTCTGGACGTCGATGGGGGCTTGGTCCTGGGCGAGATTGCTGGCCTCCTTGGCGATCGAGTCCGCTCTCTCATTCCCCTCCAGTCCGCAGTGCGAGGGCACCCATTGCAGGTGGACCTGCCGGTCTCCCGCCGTCAGGCCCCGGAGGGCTCTCCAGATGGCCCCTCCCAGCGGGGAGTGCTGGGCGGCCGGGCCCTCTCGGAGTGCGGCGAGGGCGGACTGTGAGTCCGTGCAGATTATCACGGGGTCATCGGCGTGAAGAGGGTTCTCCAGTAGGAACGAGAGAGCGGTCTGGAGGGCGACCATTTCAGCCCGGAATTTTGAACACAGGCGGCCCGCCGGGGCGCGGACCGAGCGTTCCTCTCCGTCCGGCCACACGATCAGGGCTCCGGCGCCACCGTTCAGGACGCCGTCGGTGGCCGAGCCGTCGGTCCACACCCAGGTGGCGCACTGCGGGAGCGCCGCCAGGTGCTGGGATTCCGCATTCCTCTTCCAGGTGTCGCTAGCCGCGGTTGGGATGGCGGCTCCGATGTCTAAACCGAAGGAAACCGTTGGTGACGGTTCCCACGGTGGATCCGGCAGGGGGAGGATGGGCTCGATCGGAGGGCAGATGCCCGCCGCTCTCCATGTCTCCTCGCCCACTCGGATGGGTCCGCCTTCACGCGGTGGGAGGTGTGGGCCTCGAGCCCGCCCCCGCTGGGGCGACCAGCGGAGGAAACCAAACGGACCCAAACTGCCCTCTACGAGAGGGTCCTGCTGGCGGCTCCCCGTCGCCTGGCGCCGCTTCGCGCCCCTTCTTATCCGGTCTGATGGTCGCGCGGTGGGCGTTGCCGACGTCCACCGGGACCGTCGACTGGGGGAGCGCGGCCGCCGCCTCTGGTCGGCGCGCTCGTTGCGCTGTGGGACGGCATCCACTGCAAGTCGTTCACTGTGAAGCGGTCGTTTGACCGGGCCTGGCAGGCGGGGAAAGGGGGCCTCAGATGAGGTAAAACCATCCCTCAGGCCAGCTGCCTCTCCACCTCACCATGGCAGATAAGCGGACACCCTCGTGATCATCGCAGCGATGATTGCCAATTGGTGTGTCATTATGGGAGAGGATGCCAGCCTCCTTTGCAAGATAGTCTGCCTTTAATATAGTGCAGCCCGACCCATTGCCTGTGGCAGCAGACTGGGCTTGATAATGCAGTGCAGGACACACCAAATGTAAGTGGCCATCTGTACCCCCTGTGCAGTAGGGCTGACTCAAGAGCCCAGAGTTGCCCTCCCCCACCATTCTGCGCACATGATAACTGGATGGGACATGCCATGGTCAGCATCTGTTCAAAAGCTGCCCTAAGCATGTGAAGCTCCACTGGCATGCTCCAGCATGGCCACAGTCAGTTCTCACTTCTCAGTTGAACCTCCAATGGAAACCCATCACGAAGTAGAGATCAGGGCGCCTCTCACACTGCAGCACACTCAACGACTAAGGTGCCATCTCATCACTTGCAGGTGGTTCTTGCCAGGAGCAATGCCAGCCACTCACATCAGGTGATAGCAGCAGTACGTAAAACTGCAATCTTTAAGCATCTATGCTCTTTCTGGTTTTCTCCTGTTGAGATCCACTGCCATGATGGGCTTTTGTTGCGCTCCTCCCATGTGCAGACAGGTTTCCACTGAAACAAAGTAAAGCAAATGTGATTAATAATGGCCCTGCCCCTGTTTCACCACCCAGACACTGTGTGCGCTGGTTGCTACGGCATACCATAGCGTCACTCAAATGACGTTGCATGTGATCTCTTAGTTTATGATGAATCGCGTTTGGAACAGAGTGAGAGAGGTCCTGAAAAACTAAGTACCTACCAAGAACAGAGGTTTGAGTTCAAATACTGCTAGCATGCTGCTGGCGCTGGCGCCGCAGCGTGCTAGCATTCTGGGATGCTGTCATAGCTTAGCGTCAGAGTGAAGTTTGTTGACACTACCATGGAAATCCAATGCTCTGACACACGCAGCGCACTGCAGTGCTCTGCCGTGAAACACCACCCGTGAACATTAATTGCATGACCAGGATCGGAGCAGTGTGGCAGACAGTGATTTTAATTTTAATTGCACTTTCTAGAGATTAACAAGTTGTTGGTGAAATTGCTATTCATTATTCCTATTACCATTGTCTAAATTTCACATTTCAAGACAGCATTGACATGTTATCTAAAATAAGGTTTAGACTTCAGGTGGTCCCGGATTCAGTTATTAAGTAGAACAAGGGCAAAAAATCGTCAAAAAACATTAAAAATACCTGCCTTCATCAACACCTCATCTAATGACATCTCAATGCAATCAAACACAACAATTGACCGTAAAAGCAAAAACCGTTTGAATAACAATGTAATATTTTGCAACCGCTGCACCATTACTGTCACGTACGCTATCCCTAGTTTGGTTGCTGGTAAGTAAGTGGTTGTCGTCATCAACTCGTCATGCAGCAGCTGATTGGGATGGGCGGGGCCTATTTTTATCCAGACGATAGAGAGAGCCAAAAATTTTAGGTTTTAGGTTAGGTTAGGTTGTAGGTTTGTAGGTTTTAGGTTGTAGGTAGGTAGGTTTGTAGGTTTTAGGTTGTTAGGTTGTAGGTTTGTAGGTTGTAGGTAGGTAGGTTATAGGGGTAAATGTCAAGTTTAAGTCCTAAGAAGATTTCATTGATAATTTTTTCATATTTTTACATTATTTGACATCCTGAATCCAAAAATGATACTCATATGTCTCGCAAATAAAAGAAAAAACATAATCAAACCTGACCTAACCTTACCTACTCACCTATAACCTACCAACCTACAACCTACAAACCTACCCTAACCTAACCTAACCTACAAACCTACCTACCTACAACCTAAAACCTACAAACCTACAACCTAACCTAACCTAAAACCTAAAATTTTTGCTGTTTCATATTCGTATCAACAGCGCCACAATTGTAGTTAGGACCTAAACTTGACATATACCGGTTATAGGTAAGTAGGGGTGCGTTCGGAGAGGCAGATTCCCGGGGAATATTCCACGCCGGCATGAAATTTCCGCCGAATGTGCCGTTCGGAGAGCGATTCCCGGGGAAAGTTCCGCGGAACGGACGCGGAAAGCGCGGAATCTAAAAAGCATCTCACGCGTCGTTCCCGTCAAGATGGCGGCGCCCATCGGTATGCTCGAGTGAGTATATTATTGAATATAAATGGATATTTCTTGCGTTTGTTTCCACCCTGATCAGTTTTATTGAAATCCAACAATTGATAATGCTTACTCAGTTGTGTGATTGTCCTCTGAAGCAATGAAAACGATAATTTGAAGTGTTGTGTTTGGGGTGGGGGGGGGGGGGGGGCGGGGGACACGCCTAAGAGCTGGACTTTTTGATGACGTCTTCGGGTGACGTCATGTCGTGTGTGACGTTTCGTGAGCAGGTAAGGAAAAGTCACCACCGCTGGCGAACATTGGTGCGGTAAATGGCAAACACAAATGCTGCGCAGAAAAGACAAATGTGATACTTAAGACAACATTCGTTCGGACGACAATGTCAAGGCGAATCAATTAGTTCTTCGTGCGATTGTTAGTTATCTGTCGTGCTATTTTAGTATGATTGTTATTAGCAGTTGATTTGTGAAATGTATTATCAAAATCAATGTTTATTGAACGCAGATTCAGTTTATTTTCAGATGTACCTAGGTACCCTTACACTTAACTCATCTCAAGCTGTTCAAACACCCCTGACAAAGTCGATTAAGATGAAACGTTGGGTATAATTTATACTGTGTTTTCTCTGCGTTATTAACATATTCATCATATATACAATATAAGGGCCACATGCTTTTTACAGGGAGACATGTCAGACAGCCCAGTAGGATGAGGCTTCGTCAAGCGTCATTTTTAGCAAAGCTTTTCTTGCTTAAAATCCAGTCTGCAAAACATGGCAGGGGTTACACTCTGGCTTACACTTGACTCCCAGCTGTTGTGTCTTTGCTATGCGATGTTAAACATATAAAACATCTTACTATTCATGTATGCGCCATGACTCATGTAATCTTTTCACAGCCAAGACGCTCCTAAGGTACTGGGAATGTGGGGAGTGCAGCAGCATCAGTGCAGCACCGATGGTCGGATGCGACGGCTGCGATAAATGGAACCACTTCCGTTGTGCGGGACTGACTAAGGAGCCAGGTAAGCGCAAATGTTTTCTGTCTCAGTATTTTTGTTGCAGCTATAGTGATCAATGAAATATTTTCCGCACTGTTCAGCCAAACATGTTTTTCAAACAATCTGCTTCCCAACCAAGGGCGTCGCCACGGGGGGGGGGGACGGAGGGGATCTCGTCCCCTCCACTTTTTAGAATTTTAACATTACGCCTATGGCGTTGCATGGAAAGAGTCGACTTGAAATGGTCCTCGTCCCCTCCAAAATGTTCAATGTCCCCTCCAGTCGTCGCACCGTGGCGTCGCCCCTGTTCCCAACTACACAAATTTAGTCAAACAATGTGCCAATATGGAATTTTCAGGTTCAGTTGAATGCAATAGGAACAATGATAATTGTAGATTACGTATACCTGCAAGAGAGGAAAACAGAATACATTGTATTGCTTGTCCTTCACCGATACTGTTATTTTTCCATTTCTAGAAACACCGACATGGCGATGCAGGTGGTACTGCCTGGTGAGGCCGCGGTCTCCGGAATCGCCTGCAGACGAAGTCACCTGGCGTCCATCTGCACATCACTTGCAGCAGTGAGGCCTGCTGACAGCGTCTGGCAGTGTCGGCAACGTGCCAGACAGCTATCTGGAGTCCTGCTCACCGCAAGTCGCCGACAGGAGGGGCGATGCATCGTCTCCGAGGTCGCCTCAGCAGCAGTGAGACCCCACTGGCCGTCTTCTTAGGCTTCAACTAGATTGCGAACAACCTATGCTGAGACAACGCCCATGACGTGTGATCCGGTACCGCTACCGCACTGCGTGCCTGTGCCCGCCGTGAGCCGCTAGTGCATGGGTTCGACCATGAGAATATGTGTTTATGTTGCTTTTACTAGTGTTTATACGTTGAAGTGACGAATTGTTTATTTTTCGAAAGCCTCCGCTGTCCGGTTGCCTGCAGCTCCATGCAACGCCAGCTGTACTGTTGTTTTAATGTTGTCTCTCCGCTCAGCTGTACTGTTGCCTCTCCGCTCATAACAACCTATGCTGAGACAACGCCCATGACGTGATCCGGTACCGCTACCGCACTGCGTGCCTGTGCCCGCCGTGAGCCGCTAGTGCATGGGTTCGACCATGAGAATATGTGTTTATGTTGCTTTTA